CTCTCTCTCCTGACACGTGTGGGGAGGGAGGTGTTGATGGTGTGGTTGCTTCATCACCTCACCACACAAACGCACGAGCAACCCCCCAATACACACACCAGGACCCACCACACCCCTTCAGGACCCACCACACACACCCTCAGGACCCACCACACACCCTCAGGACCACCATACACCCCTCAGGACCCACCACCCCCTCAGGACCCACCCACACACCCTCAGGACCCACCACACCCCCTCAGGACCCACCACACACCCTCAGGACACACCACACACACCCCTCAGGACACACCACACACCCTCAGGACCCAACACACACCCCTCAGGACCCACCACACACCCTCAGGACCCACCACACCCCCTCAGGACCCACCACACACCCTCAGGACCCACACAACACACCCTCAGGACCCACCCTCATCAGCATGCACCTCCTGGTGACCGTGTCCTCCCTTACAGTCAGTGGTGACGACGGGGCCAGAGTCCTCCACCACCTGCCCGTCCTCCAGCACCACCTGCCGCTGTGTCCTCGTCTCTATGTTCTTCGTCGTCGTGGTCGTCACCTTCTTCCTCGTCAGCCACTCTTCTGTAGATACCAACAAGGTCAGAATTTGGCTCCATCAACACGTATGTATGTATGTATGTAATGTGTGTGTGTGTGTGTGTGTGTGTGTGTGTGTGTGTGTGTGTGTGTGTATGTTATGTATGTATGTATGTGTGTGTGTATGTATGTATGTGTGTGTATGTATGTATGTAATGTATGTGTGTGTATGTATGTATGTAATGTATGTATGTATGTACACATATGTATGTAATTATGTACGCATGCATGTATGTATCTCAAATTATAGCGATAACTTAACATCAAATTATCATTATCAATCAGCCTCTCTATAATAATATTGTATAATGTCTCAACTACTGGTTTATATGATCCAAAACAACAACAGTAATGTTAAGATAATCGAGAATAATCTGTTAATAATCTTATATTAGTGTAACCTGTTAAACCATTATACTCAAAGGGTTAAACCATTATACTCAAAGAGTTAAACCATCGTCATCAAAGGAATAATCTCTCATCAAATGCCGACCCAAATTAATGAAACTTAGTGTAAAATAAAACAATAATTAGCGAGTATTTGTCTTCAATTTCATTCATATATCTTCATTAGGTTAGGTTAGGTTAGGTTAGGTTAGGTTAGATATTGACGTACCTTCCTTCACTGTTTCGAACACGTCACCATCATCAACCTGAAACGTAAACAAGAAACGTTTATTTTTACCTTATTGATGATATAAACGTTTATTTTTACCTTATTGATGATACAAACGTTTATTTTTACCTTATTGATGATACAAACGTTTATTTTACCTTATTGATGATACAAACGTTTATTTTTACCTTATTGATGATATAAACGTTTATTTTACCTTATTGATGATACAAACGTTTATTTTTACCTTATTGATGATACAAACGTTTATTTTTTCCTTATTGATGATACAAACGTTTATTTACCTCAAGAAAGAAACGTTATTTATCATTTATCTAAGAAAGAAACGTTTATTTATCATTTATCTAAGAAAGAAACGTTTATTTATCATCTATCTAAGAAAAAACGTTTATTTATCATTTATCTAAGAAAGAAACGTTTATTTATCATCTAGAAAAACGTTTATTATTTATCTAAGAAAGAAACGTTTATTTATTATTTATTCAATGAAATAAACGTTTATTTAACATTTATCTTAGGAAAGAAACGTTTATTTATCATTTATCTAAGGAAAAAACGTTTATTTATCACTTATTCAAGGAAAGAAACGTTTATTTGTCACTTATTCAAGAAAGAAATTTATTTATCATTTATATTAGGAAAGAAACGTTTATTTATTACTTATTCAAGAAAAAGAAACGTTTATTATCATATATCTAAGAAAAACGTTTATTTATCATTTATATTAGGAAAAGAAACGTTTATTTATTACTTATTCAAGAAAAAACGTTTATTATCATATATCTAAGAAGAAACGTTTATTATCATATATCTAAGAAAGAAACGTTTATTATCATATATCTAAGAAAGAAACGTTTATTATCATATATCTAAGAAAGAAACGTTTATTATCATATATCTAAGAAAGAAACGTTTATTTATCATTTATTAAAGGAAAGAAACGTTTATTTATCACCCCAAACATGACCTTGACGTGACCTGACCTTGTCGTGACCTGACCTTGACGTGACCAAACATAACAATACAGTACAGTAACAAGGAACAGTACAGTAACAAGGAACAGTACAGTAACAAGGCAGTACAGTAACAAGGGGCAGTACAGTAACAAGGAACAGTACAGTAACAAGGGGCAGTACAGTACCTTAGAGAGCTGTTGTTTAGAGGCGGGTGGACCGGACTCATAGTGTCTGACGGCCATAACACCATAATGGTCACTGTGGTGCTCCCCCGACCCTCGACTGCTGGTTCTGCTGGCCGGCATTCTGTCAATAAAAGGTTAGGTTAGGTTAGGTTTGGTTAGGTTTGGTTTGGTTAGGTTAGGTTAGTTCTGGGCTAAAGATTATTATTATCTATAAATAACAACAATAAAACACTAAATATGTAACGTAAATGACATTAACATAAATATTATAGTGACCCAAGCAGAGGGTTGTGTGTGTGTGTGTGTGTGTGTGTATATAAATAATTTGGGTGTATGAGTGTGTGTGTGTGTGTGTGTGTGAGTGTGTGTGTGTGTGTGTGTGTGTGTGTGTGTGTGAGTGTGTGTGTGTGTGTGTGTGTATGGTGTGTGTGTGTGTGTGTGTGTGTGTGTGTGTGTGTGTGTGTGTGTGTGTGTGTGTGTGTGAGTGAGTGTGTGGGCGGAGTACCTGGTGAAAACTTGGCCCTACCTGCGGACATGAAACATCTACCCACCTGTACCTGGCCACCGTGAGCAGGAGATACTGTGTACACCTGGAGGAGGAGGAGGAGGGGGAGGGGGAGGAGGGAGGAGGGGGAGGAGGGAAGGGAGGAGGAGGAGGAGGAGGAGGAGGAGGAGGAGGAGGAGGGATAATCGTAGAGTTTTAGGAGAGAGAGATCGTAGAAAGATAGAAGTGAGAAGATACAATTAACTCCTCTCTCTCTCTCTCTCTCTCTCTCTCTCTCTCTCTCTCTCTCATGAGGCACCACAAATACTCGTAACATAAAGGGCATTCCTTCACTACCTCTACTACCTCCACTACACTACCTCCACTACCTTCTACCTCTACTACCTCTACTACCTCTACTACCTCCACTACTCTACTATTACCTTGAAACGTAGGAGTGCAGGGGAAGAGGTAGAGAGGAGGTAAGAGGGGTGGTGGTAATAATGCTAACTAAGGTATGATTGGGGAAGGGGCCATAGGAAGGAGGAGGAGGTGAGGGGGAGGAGGTGAGGTAGATGGGGAGGAGGAGGAGGAGGTGAGGGAGGGGGAGGGAGAGGGGGGGAGGGAGAATGATACATAAGGGCTGAGGGGGAGGAGGGAGGGGGAGGGGGAGGGGGAGAGGAGAAACAAAAAATTACAAGGTCGCCCGGTTGTACAAACAGGAAGGTGTGTGTCGAGAATGTGACGATAATGGCAGGGATGTGCTGGAAGACCTACACGACGCAGCACACCACCACACGACGCAGCACACCACCACCGACGCAGCACACCACCACGACCCAGCACCACCACACGACGCAGCACACCACCACACGACCAGCACACCACCACACGACCAACACACCACCACACGACGCAGCACACCACCACGACGCAGCACACCACCACGACGCAGCACACCACCACACGACGCAGCACACCACCACACGACCCAGCACACCACCACACGACCCAGCACACCACCACGACGCAGCACACCACCACGACGCAGCACACCACCACGACGCAGCACACCACCACACGACGCAGCACACCACCACGACCAGCACACCACCACACGACGCAGCACACCACCACACGACCCAGCACACCACCACACGACGCAGCACACCACCACACGACCCAGCACACCACCACGACCCAGCACACCACCACACGACCGCAGCACACCACCACGACACCACACCACCACACGACAGCACACCACCACACGACCCAGCACACCACCACGACGCAGCACCACCACGACCCAGCACACCACCACACGACCCAGCACACCACCACGACCCAGCACACCACCACACGACCCAGCACCACCACACGACGCAGCACACCACCACGACGCAGCACACCACCACGACGCAGCACACCACCACCGACGCAGCACACCACCACGACCCAGCACACCACCACGACCAGCACCACCACGACGCAGCACACCAACGACGCAGCACACCACCACACGACGCAGCAGCACACCACCACACGACGCAGCACACACCACCCGACGCAGCACCACCACCACGACGCAGCACACCACCACACGACGCAGCACACCACCACGACGCAGCACACCACCACACGACGCAGCACACCACCACGACGCAGCACACCACCACGACCCAGCACACCACCACACAACCCAGCACACCACCACACGACCCAGCACACCACCACGACCCAGCACACCACCACACGACCCAGCACCACCACACGACCACCACACGACGCAGCACCACCACACGACAGCACACCACCACGACCCAGCACACCACCACACGACCCAGCACACCACCACCACACGACCCAGCCCACCACCACACGACCACCACGACCCAGCACACCACCACGACCCAGCACACCACCACACGACCCAGCACACCACCACACGACGCAACACCACCACACGACGCAGCACACCACCACACGACGCAGCACACCACCACACGACCCAGCACACCACCACACACGACCCAGCACACCACCACACGACCCAGCACACCACCACACGACCCAGCACACCACCACGACCCAGCACACCACCACACGACCCAGCACACCACCACACGACCCAGCACACCACCACACAGGCACACCACCACACGACCCAGCACACCACCACACGACCCAGCACACCACCACTGACCCAGCACACCACCACGACCCAGCACACCACCACACGACCCACACCACCACGACCCAGCACACCACCACACAGCACACCACCACACGACCAGCACACCACCACGACAGCACACCACCACACGACCCAGCACACCACCACACGACCCAGCACACCACCACGACCCGGCACACCACCACACGACCCGGCACACCACCACACGACGCAGCACACCACCACACGACCCAGCACACCACCACACGACCCAGCACCACCACACGACCCAGCACACCACCACACGACCAGCCCATACACACAGGAGACTGGGAGTGGGGGGGGAAGAGGAGAGTAGGGAGGGTAAGTGGGGGTAGAGGGTAGGGGTAGGGGGGGTGAGGGAGGAGTAGGAGGACAGAGGGGGTAGAGTGGGGGTAGAGTGAAGTGGGAAGAGTAGGGGGGGTAAGAGTGGGGTAGGGAGGTACTATCGGAATGACATCCACACGACATGGACCAAGATACTCAAGTGTTCACCAAGATCACACAAAATAACAAAATTGTTCACGAAAATAACTAATGTTCACCAAGACATCAAGGAAGACCAAGCAGCGCCTTACGTGTGACTGACCACAAACAATGGCAGGAAACTTGGTGACAACCCCGTCTCTCCCCTGACACCTGCTCTGGGCACCTGTATGTATATCATCTGTCACACTCCATGGGCACCTGTATTACACCTGTCACACTCCATGGGCACCTGTATAACACCTGTCACTCTCCCTGGGCACCTGTACAACACCTGTAACACTCCCGGGCACCTGTAAAAACACCTGTCACTCTCCCTGGGCACCTGTATAACACCTGCCACTCTCCTGGGCACCTGTACAACACCTGTCACTCTCCCTGGGCACCTGTACAACACCTGTCACACTCCATGGGCACCTGTACAATACCTGTCACACTCTCCTAGGCACCTGTACAACACCTGTAGAGCTCAGGGAATAGGAGAAGACGGAGGAGGAGGAGGAGATGGAGGAGGAGGAGGAGGTCTCAAGGTGTAGAAATACCCTGCGTAGTATTATGAGTTACGCGGCGCCCACTAACCTCGTGCCCACACCCACTGACAGCCCCCAGTACCCACGCCCCCAACCCTACCCTTCCCCTCTCCTCCCTGCGTTTACCCCCCACCACCTCTTCCCCCCTCACCTCTATCAATACCCCCTCCTGCCCCCCTCCTCCTCCATCACTCTTCCTCCACACACAAGATATGAGAGAAGAGAGAGAGAGAGAGAGAGAGAGAGAGAGAGAGAGAGAGAGAGAGAGAGAGAGAGAGAGAGAGAGAGAGAGAGAGAGATGAATGGTGTCAACAACAATAACAACAACAACAACAACATTCACCAGCCCTTAAAGAATGTTGTTGTTTATCATCCTGCTTAAAAACTAAAGGTAAGAATGACACACCTAACTGGTCCACCTTCTGAGAATGTTGATTGACTCTTAACGCTTATGTCTACATCATTATACTGGTATGTCGGGTGGGTGGGGGAGGGGTGAGGGGGTGAGGGGAAAGGAGAATAGTGAGAGAAAGGGAAGCTTGGTGAAAGGTTTAGTGTGGTGTGTGTGTGTGTGTGTGTGTGTGTGTGTGTGTGTGTGTTGTGTGTGTGTGTGTGTGTGTGTGTGTGTGTGTGTGTTGAGCGGAGGCAAATAAATGTTTGATTGATATAAATAAACTATTGAAATTGAATTGATTGATATAAAGCTAGAAATAATAATAATGAAAATAATAATGATAAAATAATAATAATAATAATAGTAATAATAATAATAAATAATAATAAAAATAATAATAAAAAATAATCGTCCCCACCTCCCCACACCAAGCGTCTCACCCAACAACGTTTCCTGGCTATGACTAGACCACTTCCAGGTACCAAGGATGTCCCTCTTACTACACACACACAAAAACAAATATATTTACAGTCCCCCACCCCACACACACACACACACACAAAACAAATATAGTTACAGCTACACACACACACACACACACACACACACACACACACACACACACACACACACACACACACACACACATGATACAGTGTCGGGTGTGACAGAACTAATACACACAGAGTCAGTCAACCACCACCTGGGAACTCCATCACACCACAATTTTCTCTTAAACCACAAATAATAATCCTCAAAAATCCGAGATTACTTTAAGAACGTCTCCTCTGTGCGGTACTAAATCCCTTGCACTTAACATACTCAGGGGTTATCTTTAAGTTTCTGTATTATCTTCTGTCCAAATAATAATAATAATAATAATAATAATAATAATAATATTAATAATAAGTAACAACAACAACAACAATAATAACAACAATATTTGTGGGGGAGAGGAGGCCAAGGAGACATTACCCCTTAGTGTACCCCCTACCTAGTGTACCCCTCCCCT